TTATTTTGAGGATATTTCATTTATGGGGGGATTTATTAATAGTAATGATTGTAAGGTTGTCTAAATTAATCTTCTTCATCTGGAGCATCACCTGCCGATAATTTTCGAAATGGATATTTAGGTTTGTTTTTATCTTAAAATTCATGTTCAGCATGAAGATTAAAGTTTGACATATTTTAAGCAGGGAGGAGATAACATTATTAAGGAGTGAATCTTGGAGATTAGGATGGAGGTTGTTATGGCCATTCTTAATCATAATAGTGGAGTTACTTTTCTACCTTATGTTCATTGGAATTGTGATCATCTTAATTCATAATAAATTAATTAAAAATTAATAATGGCAGCCATCAATAAGGAATAAGTTGATATGGATAATCCAGCATTTGCATAATAAGATCCACATCTTAAAATAAATGATGATGAAGAAATGGGATTACCACCTTAATTCAGAAATCGTTACCCAAGAAGACCACCACTATTTGATGGCTTATTAAACAATGTTAGAGCTGTTACAAAGAAAGTAGAACACATAAAAGGATTTAAATTTGAAGTAGCAGGAGGATTGTCAAATAATTTTCATTTAGCACATTCATGGATGATACCACCATCAGTATAATAAAATATTAAAATTATTAGAGCAAAGGCAAAGCTCCAAATCCTAATCCAATGAAACAACCACCTGTTCCAAGTTATACTTTGGCTGCATAGTATTTGGGAGGATCTCCTAAAACACCTTTTGATCATCCTACATATGTTATGACAGGAAGATGGGATTCAAGTGGTAAATTAGAAGCTGCTATTATTAAGAGATTAAATGAAATGTTCAATTTCAGGTAAATATAAAAATCCTATTAAAATAAAAAGATTTAGTGCATTTTATTTAAATTCTGATCCTTTAAATTCTTAAATGCATTTAGATTGTGATATAACAGGAGAGGATTATGTTCATTCAATAAAAATTGGTACAGGACTCTATAGTTTCAATATGATGTAAACAATTGGAAACCGACTTGTTTTAGGATATGAAATGATGACGTTGGTATCCATTTAGAAAATAATTTAAAGACTGAAAGAAATCTTTCATTAATGAGTTATGCTATGAAGTTTGGTATCAACAAGAATTAGAATATTTATGCTCAATATGTTGGTGCTGCTGATTAATTAATCTTAGCTTATAATCATAGAGTAACAAATTCATATCGACAAATAGCTATTAGATAAAGCATATTTTATGTCAGAATTAGAATATTCAAATTAAACTGGAGAATCTAGAGCTATACTTGTAATAGAATATATTTATAATCTTTAGGGTTATAGACAGAAATTTGCGATTTCAGAAGTTATAGTGACAGTGAATTCAAAATATAAATTCAGTTCTGCATTAACACTTTAGGGATTTGCCTATTAATTGAAATTGTGTGCAATTGCAGATTATAATAAGGATAGCTATAAATTTGGATATGGAATAGCAATGGGTTAAGTTTGATAACTAGGATATAAATCAAAAAATAATTCATCTTAAATTTTTACTCATACTTTTTGATAAAGTTTCTTATATTCTTTTATTTAAATTAATTAATTTTTAATCTAAACCATCTCCTTTTTAAATATTTATCTTCATTTCTATATTTTCCTAATTATTATTTATATCCACATTTATTTTACATTTCTACTTATCTATTTATTAAATTATGTTAGACTACTATTCTGACAATCCAATCTATTTTTCTTTGTTTTATTATAGAATTTACTATAATTCATTCCAATCAGGTCTTTTTTCATTATCTAAATCAACCATAGATCTCAAAACATTTTCAACTCTTCCTGGATACAATAGTTTTAATTTTTGAAGATTTTCTTCAAATAGACCATTTTATAATATTCCTTCATTATATATATCTTTACAATCTCTTAATAATGCTAATGACAATATTATCATGCTAAAAAGGTATAATATTAATCATTACCCAACACAAAAAACATCTTATTTAAATAAATTAGGTTTTAAATTTGTTCCATTTACAGATGGTAAAAATTAATTACAGAATAAATGTGGTGCTTTTGCTCTAAATGGACTAACATCTTAAACTCTATATAATAAGTATTCCTCATCAAAATATATTGACTCAAGTGTCAAAGCTGAATGAGATACTCCTTTTTTTTACAAAAATAGTAATGCATCTGATAGACCTATTATCATTTTCCAAATTTCATCCTCAGGAACATATTCTTCAGTTTAAGATCTCTTTTCTATTAATTATTTAACATCTAAAGGCAAATATTCATAATATATTTTGAATTCTCTAGTTTTAATTTAACTATATTTATCACTCATATCCTAATAAAATAAAAAACTAATTAAATTAGGATGTCTCCATTTTGTTCTCTCTAATATTGCACTTATTTCTGCTTAATTTATAATATTTGTCCAACAACAAAGATATTTAGCAAAGGGATCAACTCTATATATAGCTGATGTTGATGTTAAGTCAATGACATGAATTAATGATGTATAAGCAGATAACATATAATCTTTTGGATTTTCATTAGGTAATCTTTATCTTGGAGCATCTTAGATAACAGGATTGTAAGATTAAGTTATTTTGTTAATTGGATAGTTTAACTTTTACTATCCAATACAATATTCAGAGTACATTCTTGTCTGTTAAATTAATTTCTAATATTCAAATTTTTTATAGATAATGTTTTAATATAACAATAGTATATAATTAAATGCATCATATTTTTGGAATTTTCAATAATTTATTCAATTTTATTCTCTCATTTTTCTCATTTCAAAATAAGAAAGAAAATACATAATATCCATTCAATGAATAATATTGAAATATAATAGTATAACTCAATATTAAACTTACAAAATTAATTGAATTTAATATTCTGTTCAGCTAAATGTATTTTTCTAAATAAATTATATAAATTTGATTAATGCGATATCATAAAAATTATATGATAAAGATTTAATCAAATTGAAATTAATTAATTTATAATAATTGTAATCATTTTATTCATTCTTAGACTTCATCATCAACATTATATGGTTTGTTAAAATTAATAAATCGATCAAAAGCATATTAATCAATTTCGCCTATGTCTTCACTTAATTTTGATGAGTTTGGTTATTCAGCAAAAGATGGAGACTACTCTTAATCATGAGATGAACATTAATTAATTCCTTAAGTTTCACCTAGATTAGTTGAAAAGAAAATGCTTTTTTTTGTTGGAATTTTTAGAAAACTATTTGTTAAATCTGTTTGTTAAACATCACATTTTGAATCAACTGAACGATTATTTTTTATTGTGATAGTTTATGAAGATCTTAATAGGATATTTCTCTATTTATGACTGTTTTTAGAATATTTTGAAGATAATCGAGGCATGTTTTTTCTAATTGCTAGTTTTCTTAATGATTTCTTTCTGACTTAATCATCATCTACATTTTAAAACCATTAATGCTTTAGGGCAGCATCAGGATGAGGTCTAAATGCCCAATCTTTCTATAATAATTATATAATTAAATCTTTGGCTTCTTTAGAGACTTACTCAAATAATTCATTTGGAAATTCTATAGCTGCATCTTTAATTTTCTCAATTAAATCATTCAAACTAAAAAATTAATAATAAATAAGTTACTAATCTGATAGGAAAGGCAATTATCCTGATAACATTGAATACAAAATACAACCTGCACTCCACATATCAACCATTTAACTAAAGAATAAAATAATAAATTTACTTATAACCTTCTCCAGAAAATATTTCAGGTGCTGAAAATGCTACTGTTCCAGTATATGTCCACATTTCAATTTTTTCTCTATCTTTTAGATCTCCAAATTCTTTATAAGCATCACTAAATTTACTTACATTAAAGTCAGTAACTTTGATCTAATTTTTGTCTATTAAAATAATATAAATACTTTCAACACATAAAATATTATTGGGTTTTAAGTCTCTATGGCAAATACCATTTCGATGCATATATTCAATAGCACTCAATAATTACTGAAATAATTCCTTAGCATCACTCTCACTGTAATGTCCTAATTCATTTATCACCTCAAACATTTCCTTTCCTTTAATCAATTCCATAACCACATATGCTTTACTTTCAGATTAAAACCCATTATTGAAATCAACATATAATTTATGAACTTTCACAATATTTTCATGTTACAACTTAAACATTGATTTAAACTCAAGAATCATCTACTTTTATTATGTTTTCTTACATTTCTTATTATTTCATCATCTTATGTTTAAACTATCTTAACTGCATACTCAATTTATGATTATTTATGTACAATCCTTTTAACCAATCCCAGACAACCTTCTCCCAATATTTCCATCATTTCATATTCCTCATCAAATTTTTTTAGATTTGGGCATATATATTCTGAATCAAATTCATTGATTTCTACATCCAATTTACGCCCTAACTCCTGTAGTTCTTCCTGTAAATCCTTTTCATCATCTAAAGGTTTCTTTATTATTAATTGAATCCTTCCTAGTAATGTAATAAATATATATATACCTCTTAATTGCTATTTGATTCTGTCTCGATTATTTTGAGCTTATGTTTATTTGTCTTCAGACTCAGATTTGAGAAAAGTAAATCTTCCACTTCCCTTTTTCTCAGTGGTTTATAATCTAGGAGGCAATCTTTGAGTTTCAAATGTAGAAGATTCACTGAGTGTTATTTATGACAATTAATCTAGCATAATACAGTAAAATATTTTATAAATAAAAATGTCACATTTTATATAAAGAGGTCTTTTTTGTAATTTTTTACTTTGAAATAACTGACAAGATTTATTTATTAAGATTTAAACTCATAACTTTTTAAATTATGTTTAAGCCCTCAATAAAATTTACTTAGAAAACCATTAAATTATAATTTCATAAATAATCAAGATTCTATTAAACATAAGAAAGAACAAATTAGATGTATTTATGAATATTTTCTATAAGTAATTTTGAATTTAATGTACTATTTATTCAGAATTTACTAACTTCAAATAAAAAAATAATTAAATACAGTTTCAATATTTTTATCAAATTTAACTACTTACTCTTTAAAGTAATCTTTTCTTCAGTATTTCAGGAAGTTTAAGCCAAAATATTTTCAAATACAATATTCTGGATAATATTTTGCATTATAATAGAAATAAGGGATGAATTAAAATAAAAAATCAATAATAAAATTCATTAATCGAAAATGAATTAGAATTAAAAAAAATATTGCCATAATATTCTTTAGATTTGCTTTTACTAATGCAACAATAGGAATTTCTTATCTACTATCTCTAATTTTCAAAGGAATAATTTTACTTCAGAATGATGATTTCTTAGGCTTAATATTATTGATTTTTAGGTAAATAGAATATATAATTAGTTATTCTTTATGGAAAATTTCATTTTAGATAGCTATCAAAACATTCAAAAATTTAAAACCATATTAATCAGCAATTTCATTTTTTGTAGGTATATTAGACTGTTATGTATAATTCTTGATATATTCTGCAATTAAAGAAGCAAGAGTTTTTTATGTTTTTTTAATTACAAAGCTTTTGGGTTGCAACAGTAGTTTTTTTGATCACATTATTTTTCTACAATATAATGATTTTAATAAAGTATTAAACACTTGAATATCTACTACATTCCTCAGATACTAATGTTTAAAAAACCATTAATTCATATATGAGAAATTAAATTTATAATTTATTTATTAAATCTCTCAGAAATACCCTTTGACTTCAGAGAGTTTTCCTTAAGACATAAGACGTTTTCTGTCATAATTTTCCTCTATGATTTCTTCATCTTATTAAGTTTCTGGTTTTGTTGGAACTTTCATGATATATTTTTCATAATTAGAATTACTGCTAAATCTTACATAAGGAAACGAATTTTTATGAGATTGAGATCGTAATTAAATAATCTCTTATTCAAGTACATTTTTACCAACAACTTCGAGATTTCCAATATCGTCAGGAACGGTTGGTATTAATTTCATAATAAGATCAGAATTTTCAGAAAGCTTTTTATTTAGAGCAGATTAAGAGGTGAATGTGCTAAAAGGTTTGAAATCAAGTTAACTTAAAGAAGATCTTCTAACAATTTCTATTTATGGAGATTTAGGATTGCCATAGATCTAATAATTTTTTTCAAATTATTCCACAAATGTCTTGGGTTTTATATTCGAGTCTTTTTTTCTTAATCCAAGACGCTTTTTATTTTATATGATTAAAAATACCCAAAATTCATTTCCTTATTTTTCTTCAATTGGTTTTAAAGCATCAAGCATTCTTTTCATTTCTTCCTTCATCCTATGTTATTCAATTCGATCCAAAAGAGATTGACCAGGTAATCTTTAAATTTTTGATTCTATTTTAATTTTTGTCAAATCCCAATCCTATTAAACTTAATCAAATGTTTCAATTGCTCTTTCACATTTACTCATTTTTAAAGATTCTCCTTTTGACATTCTACTTTGCAATTATCTTGTTTTTTTCTCATTCTTCATTTTTTGATAATAAATAATATATACCTCAATCTTATTTTTATCAATCCTCTGTTAGATTTAAGAAATATGTTCTTAAACTTGATCTTCATTTAAAATTATTTCTTAATAATCTCTAGCTTTAACTTTAGTTTTCTTTTATTATATATCCTTACTTGATTATTCTATGGCTATATAAATGATAACACATACCTTTAGAGCTAAAAATCACTCTTTCTGTTTGATCATTTTGTTATTATGTTGAAGGAGTAGCCTATGAATTTCCAGTAATACGTATCTATGCAGGTTTTCTATTTTACTATTAACTTCTTGATTTTTCTGCCAAAAATTATTACACACTTCCAACAACTGTATATTTAACAATATTCCCTTTGGAATCTTATCTTGGTCCTTTCTCATGATCAGGTATTTTATCCAAAAGTTCTTTTGATCCACTAAAGAAATTTTAATGTGCTGCTTCAACAGCCACAGGAGACACATGAGTTAGGTATTAAGGTCTAACTCTAAATAGATTCATTGTACTATCCTTACTCTCAATACCAAATTAGTTAAATTTCTTTTGCATTTTTATTTATATTTTATGTAACATCCTAGATCAACATCTGCTCATTATAATACTTGCAATTCTTAATATGGAAATGGTTGGTTATTACATGAAGGGAAACAACAAGTAAAATTGAATGAAACAACAGTTCCTACATATGCAGAAATTGTTAGAAGCATGCAAGTAATATCAAATATTATTATGTGTATAGGACTTTAGAAGAGCTGAAAAGTTAATTAAAAATAAATTAGTGGCTCAACAATTTGGTTTAGAACAATAAAAGTAAGAGACAGAGGAAGAAAAATAAAGAAGAAAAATTGATAATAAGGTTCCTCCAAAACCATTTCCAGTAAGAGAAAGCGAATATACAAAACCAGCTTAAGGAATTAATGTTGGTATTTAGATTTAACTATTCAAATAGGATCACCAATTTATGAAACATCTAATATGTAATATGGGCAATTAAACCCAACAAAATTTGAATTAATTGAAAAGTTTTATCCAAGAGATGCTAAATTCACATAAGGATTCTTAGGAAATACATTTAAATTTGATGGTCTTAATACTAGTGTTGCCTTTTCAAAAACCCATAAAGCATTGGATGAGTACTGATTTAAATTTTAATATTTTTATAAGTCATAATATAATCAAATAAATAATTATTAATTCATTTATTAGGGAATATCAAAGAAATCTTGAATTTTATTAGATTTCATCAAATGTTCATATAACTTTCTAAATGCTTCCTAAATCTCAGGAAATCTAATAGCTTTATGAGAAATTATTTAGTAATTAATTGGTGAGTATATTGTGAGAGGATTATAAGGGGGACATTCATCCAAGGCGATAAATGGGTTTTATTACCTAGACTAGATAATTTTTGTACCCATAACCATCTATGTAAATGCCCTCTTTTAAGGGATCAAATTAAATTGCATACTTTTTTAAAAAGTCAAGAAGAATTTATTTTTTATCATTTTGAGTGTAATGCTTGCACATATAGACAGCAGTTAACATTATTGACAAACAAAATGAAGATATTCCTCCTACGATATTTATCATGAATGATACCTGTATGAACATCATTAAGATTTTTGGATTTAAGCAAATATTTCAAAATTAGCATTATCTCTCTATACCAATAAAATCGATTGACCCAATCTTTGATAATTGTTGTTGAAACAAAGCCTAAATGTGGATTGTTATAAATATTGCTCCATTAATATATCCAAGTTAAATCAACCTAAATTATTTTTCCTAAGATAATCACCATAAAATACCAGGATCTTATTAATCTAGATGAAAACTGTGCCAATTTTATTAAATATAAGCATTGTCATTATAAAACTCAGTCTTAGGATTCAATTCTAATTTTAGTATTGGCATATGACTTTGAATTAACCTATGATTGTAAAATAATCATACTATGATTTTACAAAAAATGGTGTCTATTTTAAAATCGAATTTATCTACTGTAAAAAGTTAACTATCTAATTATAACTCAATGTTTATGTTCCCCAAATTCCTATATCAACATCACTTACTTCTAAATCGAGTCCAGTTTCGAAGGATCCATAAGCGTAAATATTAAGTTCCGAATTCATGGAAATAATATAATGTAATCTATTAAAACATATTCGTTTTCTTATTTTATTTTAATAACTTTTTATTTGTATGTTATTTATAAACTCATCTATGTCTTGTGTTTTAGATTTGTTTAAATTTAATTATTTACGTTTTATAGGGGTTGTTTGTGAAGAATATATATATTATTTGTTTCCAATTTTTTCTATATTATTGTAATTTTTCTTTTTATATTTCTCCTTGTTATTTTGTTTTTATAAACTTGAGTCTTTCTAATTGTTCTCATCTTATTACAATAAACAGTCATCAGATTCTGATTGAGAATTCCCTGTTGTTGTACTTACAGCACCAATCTATATAATATTTTTAAATTACATGATATAATTAAGCATCTAAATCACTAGACTCCTTTTTGCATTTCTGAATATTCTCTATTTAATTCAAACTAGCTAATATTTATTATTTTTATGAAGCTGTTTACTATTTTAATTTATGAGAATTTTGAGGAGAAGTCTAATTACATTATTTATCCTTAATATATTAATCTATCTAAGGTTGATGCTATTTTTATGTTAAAGTTTAGTTTTTAAAGGTTTTTCGTTGAGAGTCAACTTTATTTTTTTTGTTTTTTGTTTTTTTATGAGACTTTTTATTTTGATGTTAAAATTATTGAACAGATGGTGGCAACTAAAAGGCTTCAATATCACTTTAGTCTACCATTTTTTATGATAAATCTTATTGACTTTATAAATCCTATTGATTCTGTTATTAGTAATAATACAGATGTTCCTCTTCAAGAACACAGAAAGATAAGGTTATTATACTTTTTATACAAATGATTGAATCGAATTCATCATTCTTCCTTTTAAATTATTGTTTCATCTATGACATAGAAAAGATAATATATATACCTTTCTTCCTATAGTTCCTTCTTGCTCTTAAGTACATTCACTTGTTAATTTCTCTTATTAGCATTCTACCTATCGTTTTTTTTGACTTTAGGTTTTTGTTCCTCTAATGACTTCATTAATCTAATTTTCATTTATCTGGAAAGATGCACATTAATTTAGCGTATGAGAAATCATTTATAAATTTATTATATACATTTAATGATTATTAATTAATCATTAAAAATACAATTTCTATTGTTTTAGGATACGTTATTGAATAGTTTGAATTTTTGATACAAAAATCATATTATTTTCAAATGTATGGAGAATAATACTAGTATAAAAATATCATAATTAGTTTAGTAAGATAAAAAGACTTTTTATATTTATATGTATGTCATTTAATCATTTTATATTTTTTGGACATTTCTTCACTATTATCAAAAGGATCATCAACAGTTGACAATCTTTTTACATAACCTAAGGTTGTGTTACCGAATAGAAATGAACCAGTTGATTGATGTTATGGTGATAATAATTGTGTGCTAAATGAAGCTTTACTTTTATTCTTAACTAATCTACTCCTAGCTGATTATATTTTTAATCTTTATTTAAATTATTCTAATTCATCTAATATTTTTTAATCAACAATCTTCCATTAAGGTTCTGTAAATTATTTTTCTTCTTGAAAATGATCGTTCAACTTGTAAAATTATTATATTTATGATGTTAATCTTATGTAATCAGGAATCAAATCATTCAATTAAAAAAATATAGGTGTTTGTAATGTTTAAAAATCTAAAATAAAGTGCATTATAATCCTATAATAAATAATAATTAGAACTTCTCAAAAAATAAGTAGATGGCTATTACATCATTCCACATAAGTAAAACAATTTCTCCAATTATGTCTTCCTGATGTTTATCTAATTCTGATTTAATTATCTAATGATAAATTATATAAACATACCGATGTATAAGTAAATATAATTGTTAATAAATTGATTGCTTTGTAATAATCTGATTAATTTTCTGTAAAACCTTCAATATATATATTAACTTTACTCTCCAAAGTATAAGTTTTTTGTGATTTGGCCATTTTGAGTAAGTACAGACAATTAGCAAATCTTTGCAGCATTTCGAAATATATCTTGATAAACTTTTCTTTGTCTTGGTTCTTCTCCCTACAACCTATTTTTCTTAGGTTTACTTATAACGAAATCCATCCCAATCGAGAAGAGATTCACAAAATTATTCACCATGCATAAAGTCATCCAAAAGAACATGACATGTTGCCAAGATTTTGAGTTTTACTCTATATGATACTTTATCAGGTAAAGACTAAAAGAATTTCTAAAAAGTTTTCTTGATTGGTTATGGAGTACGGCAAATCAATTATTATTCTTAAGGAAATCCTTACATGAGTTATTTTAGATCACCAATATTTAGAAAGGGTTAGTTATTTAAAATGGAACTATTTAATAGAGCCTTCTCAAAATCTGTTTATTATTTGAAGAATTTGCTAAACATTGTAAAAATAATAATAATATAAATATCTCTATTATTAATATTTCTTTATTCAATTACTCAATTAAGAACATTCATAATTGAAAGGAATCTTAAACTAATTTAATTTACTTTACTTTGAAAAAGCATATAACTCATGAAAAAATCAATTCCATAATATGAAATCCAAACTAAAAATTCCAAAATTCTAATTCCAAATATCCATTTATTTCTTAAATTAAGTATTTCTTCATTTTGACTTTTAAATTAACAATATGCCAAATGCCATCAAAACTTATTGTGACAACACATCAATAAAAATCCTTTATATTTCTAAAATATAAATATCATATCGTATATTTTGTTCTCATACTAATTTATTGAATTGCTTAGAGAAAGTAATATGAAAAGTACAGTTAAGAAAACAGAACAATTAAAGTCAAAATTTGCTTAAGCAATTAATAATGCTCAAGTACTTGAATAAAGTCACCTCATCATACAACAATTGTTGTGCTGCAATTCTTAATTCTTACATAACCAGATGGTATTGTTGCTTCATTGATATATTCGCTGATATAAATTTTTAATTTGTTTTTATATAATCGTAAAAGAAAGTTGTGATTTGAATTTAATTTTGAACTTAATTTATAAAAAGCATAGAAATGATATCAAATACAATAAACTTATCCAATCCTTATAAAAGGATGACTTAAAACAAAATGCAAATCATATGAATTTAATTAATAAAGCTAACTCTAGTATTTTAATCCTTTAAAAAGCATACATCTTAAATTAGAATAAGAACAGAAGACTTAGGATTTTCGAGTAAATTATAAAATTATAAAATTTAAGATCAAAATAATGAATTAAATAATTTTATTGGGATTAATTAAAAATTATAATTAAATAAATGATAATTCTTATTAATTCATTGATGATTATGCTTCTATATAAAATGTATAAATTTGATTTCGAATATAGATGGTGAGTATTTATACTAATGAAAATGAATTTAAACTCATATTTAGAATTATTAGGTATATGATTAAATAATTTTATTCTGTCCCTGTTAGTAGATCCATTAATATATCAAAAGTAATTTCCAATATATTTTTACAAAGATGATAAAACTTATAATATTTTGAGGAGAAAATATCATGCAATTAGAAAATCTTAAAATTAATTAATCGAAATAAAATTTCTATTGCGATGTCAAAACAAAATCTAAAGCATGTCTAACAAAATATATCTGAAAATTCAGTTTAGAAATATAGTAAATAATATGATTATAAGATTCTCTTTTATATAAGTTAAAGCTATAAGGAATTACATTTGAATATATTTCTTATTGATCTTATCAACAATCCATGAGTTTAGCAATAAATTATTTAATATTGTAAAATCTAATTTATTAAAATTCTTATACTTGAAATACTTTCATCTATTTCATGCTTGCAATCATTTTCAATCTAAAGTAAACTTCATGATAATTTTTAAAAGATGATATCTTTTATGCATGAACTTATACCAAATTTAGCTTATATTATCATTAATTAGAAATTTAAAGACATTTATATTTTAAGAAAATTGAAATAAAACTAGCATTTAGATTTAAGAAATTTAGTTATTAATTGATTATAATTAAAAATACTTTAAAGATTATTAGCGTATAATTCTTTAGATATATTTTAATGTTATCCTAAAATATAACAAATAAATCAGCAACAGCCATCCTATTTTTTAGGTTTTTCTTCTTAGGGCACTGGAGTTTGTAAAAATTGTTAAGGTTGTGGTTTTCTTACTTTTCCAGCAATTCCTGTTTCTTAAATTTATTATGTAAAAGCTTGAAATGCAGCCTCAACCTAATTGATAATAATGTAAAATACTTAGTCACTTGTTTTTGCACTTACTTCAAAGAATTTTAGATTAAATTCTTTGGCCAATTCTTCAGCCATAGCTGTAGTAACTTATCTAGACTCATCAGTTGCTAAATCGCTTTTGTTTCCTAATAGCATCAATAAAACATTTTCATCCGCGTAATGATTAAGTTCGTTCATCCAATATTTACGGATATCTTCAAAAGACTTAAGGTTAGTGATGTCATACACGACAACAATCCCTTATGCTCCTTTATAATAGGAGTTAGTAATATTTCTAAATCTTTCCTAACCAGCTGTATCCCATATCTACAATTTAACTCCCTATCCATTAACCCTCAGAGATTTAAAACGAAAATCAACTCCAATTGTGCTGAGATACATATCTCTGAATTGATCATCGCAGAAACGAATTAGCAATGAAGACTTTCCAACAGCGCTATTCCCAACTATGACGATTTTGTATAATTATTCCTCCATTTTTTAATTATTATTTTTCAAGAATTCATCATCACTTTATTATATATCATTCTGTATTTATACATTCAATAATATGACTAAAAATATATCATATTTGTAATTTAATCTAATATTTCCCAAAACTAGCTCACTAATCAACTATTTTTGTACAATCTAATATCCAAAGATTATATTAATACTGATAATTGAAGCCAAAACTTTCTATAAATTATATTAATTTTTCATCTACAATCATTTTGTGAATATTACTATATTATTTAAAAGTTCTACATATATTTTGTAGGAGGTAAATTCAATTTTAATTTATATGAAAAATTAAAATTCCATAAAACTTTTTTCATTCATATTTGTTTATGATGAATATTTTGACCTGATCCTAAAAGAGATACTTGAAATTAGATTTGGAATTTTCTTTCATTTATTACAATCAAAAACAAATATCTATCTAGTCTGTCTAGATAAAGCTATTTCAATTGTCTATAAATAATATCTAAAATACTTCTTATTATTAACTTTATGATGCTAATGGATTGAAATAATTTAAAAAATTTTCTATAATAAATAAACATTAAGCTCTAAGGCTATAGCTTTTACAAGAATATATGATTATTTATTAAATGATATCATTAGGAAATAATTAGATTATAATAATTTATTCTCACAAAATTTTTGTTATTATTATTATCAGAGTTGTTTAGAATTTATGAGCATTCAAAATCAACAACTTTAAAGATTAATCAACAACACATATATCACCAAGAAGAGAGTTTCAGCTGGGTCATTTGGGGTAGTTTATTGTGCATAGGATATTAATACAAAAGCAATTGTTGCAATTAAGATCGATAAAGGCAACAAAGAAGATACAAGTTTAGAAAGAGAAGTAAAGATATATTAAGAAATATTAAGGCAGAAATTCTAAAAAGATTACAAAAAACTCCTTAAATACCAAAATTATATTGGGCAGGAAAAGATGGAGATTCAAATGTTTTAGTTATATAATATTTGGGCAGAGACTTAACACATTTTATGAAAACCTTCCGAAAGTTTTCTCTAAAATGTGTACTCAATATAGCTGAACAAATGATAAACATTATTGAGAACATACATAAAAAGTAGATTAGATTTGCTTTATTTTTAGTAAAGTGTTACATAGAGACATTAAACCAGAAAATGTGCTTGTCGGTAAAGAAGATGAAGACAATCTGCTTTATATTGTAGATTTTGGTATAAGCAAGTTTTATAAGGATGAAAATGATTCACACATGTAAACTTCCTAAAATAATATAGATCATTTCGAGAGAATTAGCCATTTATTGGAACTACTAGATATGCAAGCATCAATGCACATAAAGGATTTTCATTAAGTCGAAGAGATGATTTGGAATCATTGGCTTACATGCTGATATTTTTATTAAAGGGTATGGTGTAAGTCAATAACTTTTTAGGATAACTGCCTTGGTAGAACCTGTAATTTATTGACGAAGAAGATAAAATGAGATAAGTTGGTCAAATGAAAATGAAAATAGACATGAATGAATTATGCAAAGGAATTCCAATTGAATTTGGAAGATTCTTAGATTATATTAAAGGTTTACCTTTTAAAGCAGAACCTAATTATAAATATTGCCAATCTTTATTTAAGAAATTATCATAAGAACACAATTACTAATAAAAAGATCTTATTTTTGATTGGGATTTAGGACCAAAATCGGATAGATAAGATGATAAAAAAAAATAAACAATTGAAGGCCATATGCCAAGTAGTTCTAATAATAGTAATTTAATTAACAACAAACCATCATTGTATATATTTAGAAATATTTAAGATTTAAAAAATCAAAAGATGACATCTCTTCAAATAATATTGGAGGGTCATTATTAAATTATTCCCAAGAGCAACTAGAAATGAATTCCCTACTTAAAACTCCAGAATAACGAAAGTCAAGTTTAGCTCCAGATATTAATAGGCGAAAAAGTAGAATGCAATCTGTTAGTAGCTATAATGACTCTCACTCAGAAATAGATTTCAATAATGGTAGTGTGTTATTAGGAATACAACCTAGTATGTTAAGTAGGTTAAGTAAAATCTCATTCAATTCTAACTCAAGGGTCAAAGATAGTAAATAAAATCTAAGTTTAACTCCTGAATAGAAAAGGTCTAATTTACATGAAAAAAAATTATCAATTACTCCGAATTCATACATATAGTAAATTACAGGGTAGAAATAAAATAAAATTGTAAGAAATTCTAATTCATAATAAAAATTATCTTATAAAAAAGAGGAAGAAACTATTAGAGAATTTTCTAAAATGAATGAAGCAGATGAAGGAATTGAAAGTAAATATATGCTTTTAAAATAAGCATCAGTAAATGCGTATGTAAATTATACTTACCATATTGTAGACGCTTCAAAAAATCAATTAATTGATAGTTTCCCAAACTCTGAAATTTTATTTATATATGTATTAATTTGGTAAAGAATTTTAAAATAATATTATAAATTGCATATATATATGCATTTATATAATAAATTCTTAATTCTTCAAATAAATATTCGTATTCATTTGATAGCTTCACGCTAAATAACAAAATCATTTTCATCATTGTTTTAAATGAATTTCAGGCCTTATTCATTTGCTAGATGTAACATAGTCACAAAGCAAGTTTATATTGAAACTCTTCCTTTATTTGTAGGCATTTTTAATATTTCAGGTAAAATTTAATTAATCTAATTAAATTCTAATCCTTGATTTTCTGTTGATAACTATTGTTACTTAAATTAATTACTGGTATTTTTTTTGATAATGTAGACCAGACTTGGCTTTTGAGTTCTTTAATAGGTATATTCAGTCTCCCGGTTGGGTTGTTTCGTAATGAAGATCCTATTCCCATATTTTATTATAACTATTATGGATGTTCATCATCAATTCCACCATATTCATAATTATCATTTTATATTTATCCTTCTTCAAAAATCTCTTCTCCCCATTAAGGTATTTTGGCAATTTAAAATGGCTAGTATAAACTATTATAAATCAAAATTAACTACTCTTGTCTATCTATTTAATAAGATTTAGGCAAAAGATTTAACTGCTTTAATGGATCTTTATTAATACAATAGTTTTCCTTCTCTTTAGGTTGCAAAATTGTTTTTCGATCAAATTCTTCTTCTTCATCTTCATCATCTCCAAATGCAAAAGGTAAACCATTTTTCTTTTTAGACTTATTTTTTTTCGATTTATCATTCTAGAGGCATGCTATTTTTTTTTTTGGTTATAAATTCATATCAAGTGCCATCCAAGCTACTTGTTCCTTTTCATTTTCGAAAACCTTGCCTGTTCCAATATTGGCTGCTGCCTATTCAAAATTTAAAATGTTAAATTTATTTTATTAAAACTATTGACCTTACTACTAAAATAACGATTAGCAATTCTAATTTCCAGAGTTAATTGATGCTTGATCATCGATATTCATTTCTTCAGGCATGTTCTCATAATGCTGATCTTCGACTTGAAAATCCATATTCATTCCTACTGGATTCATAACTGCCATAAAAGTTTTCTCTTGTTTAAGATCAACTAACCTTTGTCCTTTCTAAAAAATATTTTCTCTAAATTCAGTTAGTTCAGGGCAGAGTCTTAAGTTATTAAGGTTTTTGAGCATAGATTTATAGTCTGATTTAAATATGAAATTTACTTTCAATATTTATGGTGCTTTAAATCGGTTTTATTGGTAGAACTTCGGAATCTAATGCAAGCATTAAATTCTCATTGATTGTTAAATTATTCATCAAAAGCCCTTTAGCTCCAGCCTCATCGAATTTTGCAGAAGTTTGTTAAAATAACGGATCAATCTCAAATTCTAAATCATATTTATTTGTATCAATATTGGCTTGATTTTTTTCTAAAGTATTTTCACCTCCTGTATTGTGTAATTTTTTTTTTCTCAATTACTCTTATTCGAATTCTTATTCAACTTCTTAATTTTATTTATCAGGAATCTATGTTCTATGTAATCCACCCAAGACTTTAAATGTGTTTTAATGAACCAGATCTACTCTAAATCCATATATTTTTGAACCTGCATCTAAGGATGCTGATATATGTTTCCAAGCATCTCCTTATTCAATTTCTACAATAATTTTATTTATTACATTTAAAGGCATTCAAATCTCTAAGATTAATCATAGGGATGTCAAATGAATTTTTTTCATTAACTCTCTAATCAAAATACTTAAAATAATACATTTTTCTATATAAGACCCAACACAAATCGAGATTGTTCATCAGGATCATCTTTATTTTAAACATCAACTTCTTCATCGCTTGAACTTAGATCTGTTGGTTTTAATTAGATTTATTGGAATTTATTGCTCTGCTATTATTTAGTTTAAGCAAATTTGACAATATCATTTTCTTCATGCGTTGCCAAATCATCTACGCCACTTGGCATTTCTTTTTTCTTTTTGAGATACTTAGTTTTTGCAGATACTTATTTGTTCTTTTTCATAATTTGAATATTAAAACAATTTTTTGGCTCCAAACAAAGAATAATAAAAATAATAATATCAATCATGATACTATCATAAGTTGGCACTACTATAGGATGACTTCTTTACAACAGTATCTACAAAGCTTCCTATAAGGTTCATTTGCCAATATTATATAATTCCCATCATTTAATTACAATGGATTCTCTAAAATTAATATTGAATCATTTTCATTTTCACATTCACAGATTAAAGCACATTCAGCTCTTATAATAACAATTTTTTCTAAATTGCTAGCCACATAAGCTACATGAGCAATCTAATTTTAGTAATTATTTGGGTTTTTATTATTATCTAATTAATTTAGTGCATTTACTATGAAAAAAGTCTATCCTTATATTTTAGTTGCAATGATTAATCAATATAGCTGGTGATTAGGTCTATTTTATGAAATTTGTTTCAACTTAAATTATTTATTTACATTTAGAACATTGCAACAAAACATCCAAATAAAGCAGCCTAAGCCTTTTAACGCTCTTCTGAATCGTAAACTTGCTCTCAATAATTCCTTAATTAAAGAACTTTTAATCCTAAATTTCTTCAGTCTCATATAGTAATTAATTTTCACCAAAATGAACTAGTTCTGTTGGGGTAAATAAGTTTTGCATTTGCACTCGATTAAAGATTAAAATATTATCCGAATAAATTTAAGTTGAATACAACCAATCTATTTGGCTTTTTCTCCTTCTAATAGTATTTTCAGATGATAATTATGAATCATTTCTCAAATTCATTAATGCAAATCCATTTTTTTAATTTCTTTTCTTTTATTTTTCCTTTGTTCTTTCTTAATATTCTGTTTATTAACGATTAATTCTAAATAAAAACATGATTGTTCTACTGCCATTTTTAAGGAGCATATTCTTTTGACACTTTTATACTTTGATCACAATTATCCTTTTAGTTATCATTATATTCAGTTTTTTGAGATAATAAATTTTTGTTGCTTTCAAACCTTGATTCATTATTATACTTTGAATTCTTTAATTAATTATTTCTTTAGTCTTTTCGCTTATCTCCATTATAATACGAATGACAGTATGTATATAATTCATTGATCTGATATATACGTGACATTTTATTGAATAATAAAATAAATTTAATATTTACTAAAAAAATGTTTCGTAAATGATTAATATAAATTATACCTCATGAGTATTTAATAGATAAATTGAGATTAATGTGAAATCAGACAATAAGTAGTTTTTTGCCCTTAAATTAATTAAATTATTCATTTAAATTACCTCTTATTGTTACAGTTTATATAGAAGTATATAAAGAAAATAAAAGTAATTTTCAAAAATAATTTTCTATTGTTATTGAAAATGATTATATTAAGGAGAAGAAATTACAATCAATAATCATTATTAATTTATTTTCAGCTTACAGCTATTAATTTTACTTTCCTATAGTTTTCAAATTGATAATTGTAAATTGATCCAATTTTATTTTGGAAATTTAGACTTTTATAACAATTCATAATTTAGAATATAAGTACATTTATCAACCATAAATCTTTCTTAAACCACAATTGTTAAAATAAATTAATTGTTTTTCTATATCTACCAAATTCAGTTTTTTCACATTAAATATACATCCTTAATCCTTCAAATTTTTACTCCAAAAAAATATAAAGCATCATCATTTACCCACTTGAGCATAATTACACAATTACAAAATTCACTAGTCTAAATACCTCTCATATAAATTTTCTACCTCCATATCCTAATCGTAGCAAGCATCATGCTCATAAACTATATCAAATATGAATAAGGGGAAGTTTACTACCGCATGAATCGAAAAATCATCCCCAGCTAAACATTCTACATAATAGATGAATTTTAGAAACGACCCGTTAATGGGAAGATTTCTGATCATTTAATCAATCCAATTGGGAATCGAAAAGTTTACTCTAATTTGGAGCAGTAAGGTTCAGATAACAAAAATTTAATTCTAAAGATCCATTAGTTACATCAAATTTTAAAGTGCTAATGTTTTACTCCAATCAACTAAAAAATTTCTTCTTTCTCTCAGTTTCTCTATCCAACAACTGAGCCTACATAGCACCTAATAGAATTTTTGTCTATGAAAATTTCTTCTTACATTTCAGTATAGAATTAGAATACATCAATTGTTTAGTCTCCGAACAAGGAATTTTTTTGATTAATTAATCCATTACCATCTTACTAAGAGATTTATACTCTGAGGTTTTAATTTTTAATAGGATTAAATAATATAGCATTTTTACTCCAAAAAGACCTTTAAATATGAGATATCCCTTTAAAAAATAATTGAAAAGTCCAATTAATTATTTTTTATTGTTTCATTAATTTTGTTTTATTCATTATTATTCTGCTATTTTTTAATTCCTTTTCGTCTCCATCAATTTTTTTTCTCATTCTTCATTCCTTTTCTCTACCATCATCAATTCATGTATTATATTTTACTCATTTCTTATTAATTTAGAATTCTCCTCTCTAAGTTTAGAAATTTATATTTTTTAATCCTTATGAAATTGCTCCTGAGATCCTTGAATATCTTAAAACTAAAATGATATAGTTCTCCTTTGTCCATTAGCTGCTGAATAGGTTCCAAAATCAGTATTCAATATGTGTCTGGCAAAATCAGGGAAAACAAAATGGCATCGCTATTCTTTTTGATATGATTAGATTTCTTCTAGCGTCAAAACGCTTTCTACCTTTTTTTCGATTTAAGTTTTATTTTCAAAATGAACTTTCTTCTTCCATCTGACTTCTTTTAAAAGAGAGAGTTTCTAAAGTTTGATACATCATTTAGAGTCCTTTCTACTTTATATCTTGATCCAATATCTCTAACGAAAAATTTAATAAACTATAATCTCCAATTAACCCAAGTTTTTGCTGGCTTAAAACTCAATCTCATAGGCCTTTTTTATCGAGACTGTTTATCCTCTGCGCACACGTAATAGTTAAAGGGATGAAAAGTCTAGGCTCTAGTTATACAAGACCAGCCTAGTTATTATATTAAGTTACATTGTTTTCATTATTTTTGTTTCGTTTATTAATCTCCGATGGCCCCTGTTTTTAGCTACGAATCATATTTACTGTTCCTAAAGATTTATCATGTGTTATATGTACATAGGAGCACCTTCCATTTCTTTTAATCCATATAATTACAAATTTAGTTCCACTCCTATCTCAGAAGCTAGGGTTTAGATAACTACCAATTTCTTTTTTCTAGGGAGTCTGGCCAATTCTGTTATGCTAACACTGAAGACAAATTTTGTTCTCAAACATCTTGCTAGAAAAGAGTTTATATTATTTAATATTAAGGGGGTGAAATCAAGAGCACTTTCCAGCATCTTGCTTTTATTTGAGTTAACCTAAACATATGTGGATTTAATAATTAATTAAAAAGATAGAAAATGACAATGTAATTCTTGAAAGATGGAGATTGTACTTTGATTAAAATATAGGTTGAATCATCAATTTACCAAGCATAGAACTTAGACTCATTTTCAAGTTCCAATGGCTATATAGAAATAATAGATTCAAAGATTTCTGTTCGATAAAATGGTTTGCAAGCTCAAAAAAAATCATAAAATCTTAAGGAATCATATGAATTAATTATAAATGGAAATAGAAGATTATTGAACAACAAGTTTCATATATATTAGAACAGATTTATAAAATTTTTGTATTTCTTTTAGATTACAGCAACATTATCAAAAGTGATATTTAACTTTCATTTAAATGAATGAGGAAATGTTTTTGAATTTTGAAATTTTGTAAATATGTTACGAATTAAAAGAATACTAAGAAAAAGAAAGAAATGATTTGCTTCAAAATAAACTAGAATTATTTTCTTAACGCAAACTTCCGAAGCTCCAAATAACAGCAATATAATAAATTATTTTTTCGATATTAAATATGATACCTGATTTGATACTACTTGAAAAATTTGAGTCTTCAAACTTTTCAAAAATCATAATAATTCAATTAAGGAAAGATTATATGAAATCTATTCTAACAAAACATGATATATTGGGAAGTGATTAGTTATTTTAAATACGAAAAATATATTATGTTTAAGATAATATTTTAAAAAATTAGACGATATATGAATCAATAGTTAATATTTCAACGGATCATTTATTCTGGATTTAATGATTGGGATAATCCTTTGTTAAGCAATAAATAGATAAGTTAATTGAATAGCTCTTGAATTTTTGAAAAAAAATCAATCAGATCAATTTGGTAGGATTTTATAGCTGAAAAGATAATAGTTCTTAAATAATAATAATGATATATCTAATAATGAGTTGGAGATTTGAATTTTTAAAGTTTTTTGTAACTTTTAATGAACTTGAAATAGAGATTTCAAGGATATTCAAATTTAAGTTATGGCAAGTTTTGCCTATTGCATCAAATTCTCTATCTATATCTTGAATTGTGCCTTGAGAATGTTCTGACAAATCTTGTTTTAGCTTTTTAGCCAGTGACTATGTTATGGAGCTTAGTTTTTAAATGAGTTGTTAGAAATTCGCTCTCTTAAAGGTCGGAATGTTGTTTTTTAACATAAATGAAATTAAGATATTAAAGACTCAAAGCTATTTATATAAAATACAAAAACCTTCAAAGTTATAAAGTTTAGTTATCTCAAAAAAAGTTATTCATTTATTCAGGAATTTTTTTCTGACATTCTTATAAATAGAAATTCTAGTATTAACTCAATTGAATTGGCTTAATCTGTAAAATTCTTAAAATAAGTAATGAAAGATATAAGTAGCTTGGCAAAAATCGAAGTAGAGTTACTTAGAGCCACTCAATAAACCCTAAAAATTTTTCCAAATATAGACTCAACCATTTTTTCAATGAAATTGAATGAAAAAACATAATATATTCATAACAAATACTGTTATTTTGGATAATAGTTAAAGAAAATCAATTAGAGAAAAAATTTAATAATATTATACTAATTAAAAATTGTTAATTTGTGAGATCCACTAATTGTTCTATATATTCTCTCAAATGCTATAAAATTAAGTCATTTACAATATCCATTTCTATCCTTATGCAATCGAAACTTCTCCATTAATACTATTTATAGACTTTTAAAAGAATAGAAATGCAATTAGAGAATGAAGAAGACATTCGATAGGATGGAGGAATCCTTTGTTTAAAATTATAAGTACTTTATAGATATCGTTTCAGAGTTAGAAGAGGAAGCAAATATATTATCAGGTTTTTCAAATAGGAAAATTGATTAATCAAGGTAATTTTAAAGTAATTTAGATAGAGGATAAATATAAAAATTAATAAAATTTAAACAAAATTGGAGTAATTAATAATAAGTATAAAGAAAAATTCTTTGATATTTCTTGAAAAATTGTTTTTTTTAAATTTAATAACAGAAGTATTTATTTTTGATGATTAAGATTTCTGCAATTAAATAGGAAATTAGAAATGGAACCAAAATAAAGAGAACTAGATAAAATTAAAAGATTTTGTTTTTAAATTTTTTCAGAAAATAGAGTTATATAACAATGATAATTAGGGTGTGAATGACTACTGCAAGAATCTTAGTCCTAAGATGATAGCTTAGTATCTTTGCAGTGTTTGGAGTAGAGTTATTAACTTCCAAACCTTTCCTTAATGCTCTGTAATTTACTTAAAAGGAGGAAGAATTAATCAAAACATGAGAGATCTAAGATTAACAAATTTACTAATTATTTTTTTGCTCCTATTCCAAATTATTTGCCTTTGTTTTTTAGATATCTTTTGATACAATCAAACCTAGTTGATTATAGTCAATTCAATTATCTTGAGTGAGGGTTTAAATTAGTCCATATTATCTAGAGGTAGGGTGATTGTTTCAAAGATACTCTATATTAATACTTACACAAACCCTCATAACCTAAGCAAATTGAATATTATTAATAGCTGAAAGCATCCTCCTAACAGATACCTAAAAGATAGTTAGTCATAGAATTGTAGTAGTCTTCTTCTGTAATAAATGTAATACCTGGTAACAGTTATTTATT